ACTATTTTCACACATCAAATAAAGTATAACTACAGGAAGTTAATAACAAGAGAGAAAACAATGCAATAGCAGCGAGTATATTACGGATATTAGTAAAGAATAAAAATTAAAGATTCAAAAGAAATTAATGAAAAAAAGAGTAATGAAAGGTATAAGATAAATATGATGATTAGGAATTAGACTGAAATTTTAAATCAATGTCGCTGTGTCAACACAAGTGATTCGGAGTCATCATCTGGACACTCTCTGAAATTACAATAATGGTTAGAAAGGAATTTGTAGCTCCGTACCTTATTTACACCAGCAGTAAATTAACAAATCCGACGGTATAGTACGATCATGTTAACCATTCTTCAGACTAGCTCACAAGCAAACCATCCGTCCCAAGTATCTCAACGGATGAAGGTTCATAGTCCCATAAGTGAATAATACTATGAAATCATCATCAGTATCCTCTTACGTGATGTATCAGATGAGGTCAGATAGACTACCTACTTTTTATACTGATTGATCTAGCAACCGGATATTAAATTGTGAATTCATCAACAGCTTAATCATTAATGCCCTATACCGACATTTTGGATTTTGGGTAGAATAAGGATTTGCTTTGAATTTCCAACCCAAATTTTGATTGGGCTGCATTATAATTATACTGCCACAAAAAAATTATATCGATTACGCCCTCTAAATCCATGAAATAATCCCCTAGTTATTAATCAATGCTATAGAAAAAACCTATGATGAGCATCAAAATATACAACTTATATAATCATCAATTGGTGATTAAGATAAATTATGTTTCTGTTGAGAATACAAGTGCTGAGATGAAGACATTTCTGTAGAGTGTTTCATTGTGGAACATAATTTACTCCCGAGGGATGTAGAAACAGTAGTATTTGTTCTTCGAATTTTTCGTAAGTCTTATTTCAAACTAGGAGACATTATTACTAATGATTCTGCTTAAAGATGAAGCAAGCGAGAAATTTGAAACAAAATAATATGAATTACTTTATTTAACAGTTTTTGAGTTATTAAACTGCACAAACAGAAACGATTGTGTGCAATTATGTTCATCCTTTAACTCCGCCTGGAGCCACTCTGGGCTACTGCTGGTCCCAAGCCCGAAGAAAGAATGAGGGTTGCACATGACGTTGGCGACCACATCCCACAAAAAAAGTAACTCGCCAGAAAAACACTAACCAGAAAACATAATTCAAACCATTTTAACTCTGCCCTTGGAGTTGGAAGAAGATTTATGACGTCTCGTGATGAAAGCCGAGTTCCCTCGCAATTCACGAGGCCGATGCCCCTTCTGACAATCAGAGCAACCATTCTTTTAGGTACATAGAATGTTTGAATACTGTGGGAGACTGAAGACTATTTCAAGTTGCTACGGAAATGAAAAAATATAATCCGGAGCTGCTTGGAATCAGTGAAACACAATGAACGCAGATGGGACAACTGAAACTAGCTTCAGGGGAACTCCTGTTATACTCTGGTCTCGAAGATGAAAATGATTCAAATACACAAGGAGTTGCACTGATGCTGTCCAAACATGCACAAAAGGCACTAATAGGATGGAAATCTCATTGACTTAGGATCATTAAAGCATCCTCCAAAACAAACAAAGAGGGCATTACAATGAGTGTCGTCCAATGCTATGTACACACCAACGACCACAACGAAGACGTTGGAGATCGATTCTACAAAAGGCTGTAGTCAATCGTCGAGAGATGCTCATCAAACGACTTGACCATTCTGATGGGAGACCTGAATGCAAAGGTTGAAATGGACAACACTGGATATGAAGACATCATGGGACGACATAGACTGGCAGAAAGGAACGGAAACAGTGAGATTTGCGAACCTATGTGTCTTCAGCAAACTGGTCATCGGCGGCAGAATATTCCCACACAAACGCATACACAAAGAACCAAATCGATATGTATCGGAAAAATTCGGAAGGACCACGGAGGACGTGAAAACCAAGAGAGGAGCTGATATAACCTTAGTAATCAGCAACAAAGAAGAACAGCGAAACTAGTGGGTAGAGCACTTTCAGGAACTCTTGAATCGACCAGCTCCACTGAACCCACAACATCGAGGCAGCATCCACGGACCTCCCAATCGATGTTGGTGCACCTACAATTGAAGAGATCAGCATGGCCATTAGAAAAATCAAGAGCGGCCAAGCAGTAGGACCAGACAACATTAAAGCAGAGGCAATGAAAGCAGGCGTGGAAGCAACTGCAAATATATTTCACATTCTCTTTAAGAAGATTTGGGATGAGGAACAAGTACCATCAGATTGGAAAGAAGGATACCTGTTCAAAATACCAAATAAAGGTGATCTCAACAAATGTGATGACTACAGAAGCATCACTCTTCTCTCAATACCAGGCAAAGACTTCTACAAGGCATTGTTAAACAGAATAACAGAGTCTGCAAATGCCCAGCTCCGCGATCGACGGGCTGGATTCTGTAAGGTTCGATCGTGCGCCGAACTAAGTGCATCCTTGCTGACCATGTTGGAACAATCAACTGAATGGGATTCACCACTCTACATCAACTTCATTGACTACGTAAACGTATTTGATAGTGTGAACAGGACAACACTATGGAAGCTTCCTCGATACTACGGCGTGCCTAAGAAGATAGTCAACATCATACAGAATCTTTACGATGGATTAAAATGCGAAATCGTGTACGGAGAACAGCTGAAATACTAGTTCGAGTTGAAGACCGGTGTCAGGCAAGGTTACTTACTCTCACCCTTTCTCTTCCTACTGGTGATCGACTGGATTATGAAGACAGTATACAGTGGACAGCTCGGATGCAGCTGGATGATCTCGGTCTCCTATCGCACACGCAAAAACAAATGCAAGAGAAGACGACCAGTGTAGCACCAGCCTCATCAGCAGGTCTCAACATACACAAAAGGAAAAGGAAGATTCTCCTATACAACACAACATGGGCCAACCGAACCACACTTGGTGGAAATGCCTTGGAAGACGTAACATACTCTTCATATCTGGGCAGCATCATTGATGAGCAAGGTGAATCTGCTGCAGATGTGAGGGGGCGTATCTGAAAAGGAAGGACTGCATTTCTTCAACTGAAGAACATCTGGAACTCAAAACAAATATCGATCAATAATGGAGTAAGAACGTTCAATACAAATGTCAAGACAGTTCTACTCCATGGAGAAGAAACTTGGAGAGCTACGAAGGCCATTATCCACAAGATACAAGTATTCATTAATAGTTGTCTACGCAAAATACTTCGAATCCGTTGGCCAAACACTATCAGCAACAACTTACTTTGGGAGAGAACAAACCAGATTCCAGTGGAGGAGGAAATCAGAAAGAAGCGGTGGAAGTGGACAGGACACACACTACGAAGAGCACCGAACTGCCTCATAAGACAAGCCCTCACATGGAACCCTCAAGGTAAAAGGAAAAGAGGAAGGCCAATGAACATATAACGCCGAGAAATAGAGAAAGATATAAGAAGAATGAACAAAAATTGAACAGAACTGGATAGGGAAGCACAGGACAGAGTAGGTTGGAGAATGCTGGTCGGCGGCCTATGCTCCATTGGGGGTGACAGGTGTAATTATGTAAGTGATGATCATCCTTTGGATAAGCTTTTCTCCGAAAACCCTTTAATATACAATGGTACGAAATGGTTATCCGATTTTAAATTTGCAGTTCATAACTGAATAGCTCTCGTAACACTTTGACTGATGAAAAACCTGCAAGAACAAATACCAAAAGTGTTACACCGACTCAACGATCACAAGCCGAGTTTCAAAGTCTGTGTAACAGTCATAATTAGAATATTTATCATACTGAACATGGGATCAACAGTAAGCTAGCATTCTACTCGAATGTGTTCATTGCTCTGTCTACTATGACTTTCGTTATAAACCGATTTCTTACAAATGGTAGTCTGATAAGTAGCATTTATTGACGTTTATTTTGAACAAAACCACGTTGTAACTGTAGTAATTCATAGCTTGTAAATTTAAGGAAAATTGTAATAAAATCGAAAACTTAGTTAATTGTCGTTAGATTAAGTTATATCAAACTGAATTACTGTAGTATCGGTGTAGTTAACAATTGCAAACATTTAGTATATAATCCAGGTAGTACAACAATACACATATTAAGAATTGTGATGGAAAATATGTGATGACTAGGCTCCGAGGTCGTATCGAACAGTTATCTTAGAATGGAAAAGTTTAGGTAGGGAATGTTGATAAGGATTAAATTCTCATTTCGTAGACAAGAAACTGTAGAACAAAGTAAATGATAAAAATCACACATGATTTGTCATATTTGATGAATGAAAGGTGATCAAAAAGAATGGTAAATCACGGGTAGAGTATTGATTCCTAGATTTACGGTTGTTTGTGGAATGAAGACCATCAATGCAGCACATAAATTTCACAATACTTTTAATACTACTTAAAGTAGGAGAAATATTTAGCAAAAATTCATTTACCTGGAGTAAATAGAGGAATATTCTAGGATTAGAGTCAAGTTAACGACGAATATGCGAATACGTTAATACTTACAACTGATTTAAGAAAATATTTTATGGAAAGTTTGAGAACAGCAAAAATTATTGAAAACTTATAACTGTCTATTTATCAATACCACTGATATCCAGGAAAAAAAATTAGTAGTCAAATGAGTGTCAGTGCACCTAGTTTTAAAATCAGATTTTCCTAATTTTAGTATCAATGAAACCACACAACTATCTAGATAAAAATCATTTCAACTGTGATTCAATGGTTGATTATTTCACGTTTGTACCACTGTGTCATTCCTTGTTTACAGTGTCGTAATACATATTAAAAAGCGTCTAAACTGAGTCTATACATGTACAACTAATACTGCAAGACAAATTATACTTATATATATATATATATATAATATATATATATATATATATATATATATATATATATATATAACACATAAATCATTTTATTTAAAATTACAGGTATTTATTTAAACAATGCTATTACAAAACAAGGATTTCATTGGAAGTTTATTATCAAAAAATAATCATTGTGAAAGTAGCAGTTCATAAATAAAAAGGTAATTGACTTTAACTTATTTATCAGAATATTCAAACAAGCATACAAAGTTCAATCATTAGACAAAAAATTTAATGGGAAATCATGTGTACATCACATAACAATGTAGAATACGGCAGAAACTATTAAACAAAAATTCATGATATTAAGAATATGGAGAAAAGAGACAAAAGCAGAAATTAAAAAAATCATACTAACAATTTAATATGAAATGAATAATTATAATAATAATAATAACAATAATTCTGATTATAAACATTATTACCTGATTACAATCAAAAAAGAAATATTCGAAATTAGTTATTGAGGGAATAGGAAAACTAATAAGCACATTGAGTACGCGCATATGTTTGTATACAAACCAAAAATGCACATTGTTCAAAATAGGTGGTAAATCACAAAAAAACAGTCGACAGTTGTAATTCAGTTCTGATCATTTGAATAAAATGTTCTGGCTTTCAAAAGAATAGGCATAACATCGATATTTGACGGATAATTCTGAGTGTAAATTAAACAAAACAAAAATATTAAATGAAAATATTTAAATGATTTTACTTTAAAATACTCTTGAAATAAACCTAAACATGAATTAACACGTAAACACCATATACGTTGAATGATATTTTAGCATTCTTCTCAGTCATACACATAATATAACAATTATTGACCTACATGACTAGCAGAAAAGCTAAGAACTTAATAGTTTAACAATTCAAAGTGCTCTTACTAACTAAGCAAAGCTTCACAATGTTGATAGCATGAAGTATAGTAAACGCATATTTATGTATGTGTATGATCATTGACGAATAACGATAATATACAAAACACATACAAGCTCTTCAATTCAGAAGATTTGAAGCGACAGTTTCTGCGTTAGTCTACAGCATATACTGACTTAAACTAGATAAGTATTATAGACTAAAAACAAAAATACTATTGAACAGCCGTTCGGACTCATAACTTTCGCGTGCGCATTCACAACTTCACTAAGTGTTAAGGATAAGATTTTGAGGTCATCCCTCCGGCAATTATAACCTTTGAAAAAAATATACTGCATTGTCATTTTATGGTTTCTATTTCAAACTCCAGTAAAATCATACCAATGATTTAAATAAATACAGACATCGGAAAATGACAAGTATAACTATAGCGAGTTCATTTAAATCTTGAGAAAGGATTTATATTCCTCTAACACATAATGAATAAGGCAAAATTTCACACAATAGTATAAGTAGGTTGAAAGAATATAAGCAATTTAATGCATGGTTCAAACTAATAGTCATTACAATATGATAGAAAATTTGGTAATCAATAATCCCATCATGAGAAAATATTATTCTAACAGTAGTAACAATTCATCTTTTGGATAACGTAGATAAAAAAAAAGTTAATTCATGACTTAAAATCAAATGACAATCAAAAAAGAAAACATTAGCGTTCTAAAAAAAACTATCCTTGATTTTTAAGATACGTATTATTTATCATACAGGATTGACAGCTCTTGTATCTCATAGTTAGTATCACGGATTGATTTTAGTTACACAACCACTAAGCAACTTTTTTAACTTAGTACGGAACTTCTTCGCAGCCATGTAGTGCCTTCTGATTTTCAATGCATGTTTAATTAAAACCAGTTCGTGATGCTATCTACGGGCATTTACCATTTGATGCTACGATAATCGATTTCACAAATAACAAACTGTTAAAACAGATAACTTATTTAGTCTGTACCAAATTATCTGAAAATATGTTTTGGAAATCTCCTTAAATTTGGAATTCTTTTCTTAAACTTCACAATAAAGAATCATACACAAATATTCATTACCAGTTAAGGAAAAACATGATTTTAACAACCAAATCAATAATTATTCATGGAGTATTTCATGATTTAATTAGACATCAATTCATATATCTTTGTACATTGGATTATTATTTTTGATGTACATAAAACGAAAACATATCCTACTATCAATAAGTGCTACAGTGTAAGTCTACAATTAAAAATACTGAAGTGATAGAATACAGAAACGAAAAAGCAGTTGTATAGTTGTAGCTTATTGATTTAAACAGTCTACTCTCGATTGTCTAAGTCACTGGTTTAACTATTACATTACAATGATCTCAGTTTGAATATTTACTTACAATTATATTTTCTCAAACTGAATACAAAACTGTTCAATGGTACTACTTATAACTAAAATAAAGTATTTACTACAGAGCAATAATCCACAAGTAAACTATATACATTAATTGGAGATTGTGAAACTATGTAACACACATATAAAGAGTTAATTTCTTTTAAATCCTATAAGAATAACATCTTAGAAGAATTTATATATATATATATATATATATATATATATATATATATATATATATGAATTTTTGAATTTGTAAAAATCATTTACTTGAAGAAGTTGAACAGCTTCAGGAAAATCAGCTTTTAACAGTTGATCACGAATACCACTATAATTGAAAGAAACATTATCAAAAAATAAGACAGCAATAACATTTTTAACAAAACAGTAAAGTAAGGTGGAAATCTACGAAGAATTAACAAAGAACAACAATGTTTTTCTTTCAAATCAATGACTCTGGTTATTGACTCTATAGAACCTTTGTTTTCAATTCCATCAACACATTGACTACTATTTCTTCTTTAGTGGCACTTTTTTATGCAAAAATAAAAATAACAACTCAACAATAGCGTAAATTAGTGTCTGCATGATATGCTCGCAAACTGATGTGCTCAAAACTATTACGAGTTCACCTTACTCGGTAAACGGAACGAAGAGCGATGACTCAGTGACGATAGGCTATTCTAATCTGTTATATTCGTCTCTAGGTACGCTTAAAACTATTACGGGTTCACCTTAGTCGAATAACGAGAACAAAACAATGAACCAGCGTCCAGGTAGGCTACTGTGATCCGATTGTTTTAATTGTACCAGCTAGAAGTCTTGATATAGCGTAAAAAGGGTATTCTACCAACACCCAACCAGCACACAATGAATCCAAGTACTCAAATTGCATTTATTTATACTCCATAGAGACGTTGTTGGGAGAGTCACAAAATAGCACACTAAAATGACACAGTAACCAATCACAGCCAAGGATTTTCCTGGTGGGAAATGTGATCTCAAGGTCAACCGATCAGCTCATGAAATAAATCCAAAGTAAAGATATTTATCAAGCGAGTTCTGGGGATCTAACATCCCCAACATAATCCGATTGTCAAAGGTCCTGTTAACTAGATCAAGAAGTCTTGATAAGGAGTAGAGAATGTATTCTACAAGCATCCAGAGAATTCAAGGTCGCTAAGCACACAAATCAAGCTTATTCATATAATGATAGAAACGCACTTAGGAGCCACAAAATAGCGTACTAAAAACATCCGTCAACCAATGACAGTCAAGGATTTCCGAGTGGGAAATATAAGGTGTAGGTCAACCAAGCGTTTAAGAAATAAATTACAAAATTAGGACCTTTTTCAAGTGAGGTCTGGGGATCTAACGTCCCCAAGACTACATCAAATTTGGTGAATGGATTGAGTTGTTATGGGGCTGTAGCTCAGTGATAACAACATTTGATATCCAGTAAATCTCAAGTCCAAACCCTCATTCTATCTATTTTTGTTTCAGCCAACTGTGTAGCATCAGAATCTCGATTATTGAAGTTAGTTATATGAATCTGTTCTTGACTGATGATTTGATTATACATAAACTAATAAGTTAATATCACAATTGATTTCAATGTGAACAAGATTTTTCAAAGTAGCAAATGGGTTGAAAATCAACAAAGCTCTAAAAAAGGCAAACAGTCGTAGAAATGAATCTATAACAGAAATCAGATGATGCATCGAATAAACAAATTTAGAAGATGTGATTGATTCAGAAGCAGCAACAACAAAACTTGGTAAAATTTTAGAGAGATTAGATAGTGAAACTGAATCATTAATAAATAGTAGTGGCATATGAATCAACTGGTTGACAGTAGTAAGTGCCGGAGAACATAGATATCATCAAGCTTACCGGTTAATTGATTATATATTCAGTTTTTGTCAATTACTGGGACATTAATATACATGAAACCACTTGTGTATTGGTACACTTACTGATGCTTAATTGACAATTTATAGGGCATACTTACTGAGAGAATGTGTTGTTGTTGTGTTGTTCAAGGTTATGGGCAGCAATCTTTGGACCACGTCTTAGTAATTATCACTAAAACTCTTCTCTAACTTAGAAATAATTAATGTTTCGCTTAAAGGTTCAAACAATCATTATTTAGTATTGTAGTCATCTACGTGACTGATCCTATTGACGCTGTGACTAACTTCCAGGGAAAGTGAACAGAAACATATGTCATGTTGTATACTTCTGAGTATTTTGAACACCACTAAACATAACATAAATTAAGTAGTCAGTGAATGACGAATGCAATAAAAGCCATTTAATAATCACTGATGTGTAAATTCATTATGTTGTTGTCGAAATCTTCACCAATCCATCCAGTAAAACCATATGGAATTCGGTATTCTCTCAATTGTATATAAACATAAACAGTATCAATTAAAACACAAAGTTTGAAGTTCAATAACATATTTTATTCTAAAGACTTATAACTGTAACTGGGAAATTCTAAACAACGTACACATCATATCTGAACAAAACAGGTGAACTTCAAAGAAACGAATAGATCAAGTAATTGAATAAATTAAATTTTAAGTGAATCTATAAAATGAAAGAAATAGTTATGAATCAAGTACCAATAACATTTTGAAATGGAAAAGTTTTACAAAGTAATAGCTTACATTAACATTGAACAGCAGACATATGGAAGTAAATTGAACCGGTTCGGATCTGAGAAAAGTGTATCCCATAGTATAAGCAAGTCTGTAACACAATAGTTAAATACTAATGAATATACTAGAATGAGATTGAAAACCATTTCATATCTAAGAAAAAACCAAAATGTATGTTATGTTACTTATACCTTATAAGTAAGATGATCAGAATGTGCTAGCTAGAACATACATCTAAGATATTATTTTTTTTTAAAAACACGTGATAGTACCTATATTATATCTAAAGGGGATGTATGAATTTCAATCTAATTTGTAATTTTAGATTATCTTGTTGCTGATATTCTGACGGGTAGTAGGGTGTTGGCATTTGAGGCAAATGGTACTTGGCATAAGCTCCAAAGTGGAAATCCTGACTTATCCCGAATAGAATGAAGTGCACGTTTTGTATTCAACAAGTTAGTAGATGAAAATGAGAATAAACTATCTATGGCTAAGTTACTACCAGTTAAATCTTTTACTTGCATCTTCAATTGTAGACAAAATATAATCAATTCATTCATTTCTGATTTGAACTTTTTATACAAGCAAATTATCTCAAGCATAAAATAAGTCAACAAAAAATCATTAAATGACGTAGTTTTGGTCAATTTTCATGTCGATTCGCAATAGTAAAATGTTGACAGTGTAAATTAGTGAAATGAAAGAATTCTTATGAATGTAACTGCACTACAAAATATCATAGGAGAGATGAGGAATTTATAATGATCAGTTTCGCCTAAATAATAAAAAATAAAACAATTTCTAGGAACACAAGTTCAGATGATGTTTAATTTTTTTTCTTAATAGTAAAAGGTAAGTAAATGTTAAGGGTGTAGCACATCTCTGAGAAGACAACTGATCAATATGAAGATTGCATGAATTAGATTTTTCTTCTGAATTATCAAAATTACATTTAATGTTGTTGATGAAGAAAAATTTCATAAGATAGTAAAATTTAAATTTTATCGATCGATAAATGACAAACACCAAAAACTTAGATTATAATTAAGTTTGCATACTTTTAATCATACTAACTTGTTTTGCTAAATATTTTGTACACGAAAGTTCAACATTTTCACTACAAAACTTATTAATTATTGAACAGTTGTTTTGTTTATTTCCATTTATTTAAGTGCACTGATTAAGTGAATAAATTGATTTATTTCTAGTAATCGTAATTTGTAGTCATTCATTTAAATCGTATGAATATCTACATATAACGCACTACTACCCTGTTGTAACGAGAATTGGAAAGAAGCTAGAAAAGTTTCCTTATTGAAATAAAAACCAACTTGGAAAGTATCTAATCAGTTAAACTTGCACATAAAATATATACGAACAAAAAGTTAAACAATGTACATAAAATTAAACTTGATGTCTAGTAGATTAGTTATAATTAGACAGAAACTCAAACGACAATAATTGTAATTGTAATTCTCAGCGAGGTTTGTAATACAAATCAAAGTTATTTTAGTCATATGAGAAATCAATTACTGGATATTGACAAAGAAATAGTTACTTTGATAGATGGAATGCCGAATTTTATTCTGATACGCGATAAAATGGCAGGATAGTATATTGAGATGTGAAGGTGGCCCGTCGGTATACGAATATTTTTATGCATCGAAAAGGACTTATTTACTTACACCTGTTACTGTCTAATGGAGAATAAGCCGCAGACAAACGAATTATTTTTTCTGGTAGGCGCTTCTTTAGCGAGTTGGATTTCTACGGGATGGGGTCACTAACCCCGTGCCCAACCATCCTCCTATATCTGGGCTTGGGACCGGCAGTAACCCCAGAAGGACTGCAGGTGGAGTTTATGGGATGCAGGTAAAAAGGAAATCAATATTTCCGGTCGTTAGTCAGCATATTCTTGATTTATGCTACTAAGGTCGTCCTATTGCTGAATTAACGGGTAAGTTTTTCACTGTGATCCTATATTGAGTATAAATGTATAGATAATGTGGTATTTTCATTCCCCGCAGTTACTGACTAGGCAACTGTTTTCTAATATTCAGTGACTCATTGAGATTTGAGGTTCTGCGAGCAATAATAAATTTCCTGCTGGCTCATAAATGATAAAAACGACCTGTTTGAATATCTGTGCTACCTGTTCTTCCTACCATTTGGATATTTCAAGAAATTATCTTTTTCATTTTTGTTAACATTACAATTATGTTTTTCTCAAACCATAACCTATTCAAGCGCTCACATAAACAGTTTACGACCTATCCCTCTACAAGGTATAAAAAAGTACAATTAAAAGCGTTGCAGTAACTGGTAATATGCATTGAATAAACATAATTATGGTTATTTTACCATTTACGTAACTCCGGACTGCACCTAATCCGCACTATCTGTCTGCGTTTCTGAATTCACTGGATTTGTAGTTACTGTCTTCAGCAGATTACTTTCAATTTTATGTAGTGACTATAATTTTTGCGACTATAGTGTTCTTTCATCACTAAGTTACCAAAATATAGTCAATTTTCCGACTCATTCGGATGCCCATTTAGACTCAATTTTCATTAATGATGTAGGAATACAGGTGACTCGTAAACGTGCGCCGTTGTTTAGTTCTGGTCATTGTATAACTCACACACTACCCAAAAGATATAGCAAACTTGGAAAGAAAGGTAAATGCGGGAGTTACTCAGAAGAAAATATCCAAGATCCAAAAACCGTGTTTCGTACAACAAACGGAGATTTATCTACAAATGACTGTATAGAAAACACCTTTGATGTTTCCACTTGTTATCTTAAATCCTGCTTTGGTGTTTGCAGTCTTACTGAAACTATTTTTATAGCAGTGGGCCAACTTACATCCCCACAAGTTTCACAATTACGAGGGGAAAAAGAAAGAACGTACAATAAGAAAAACTCCACTGAAATTAGAAAGCTAAATAGATTAAAAAACAAGAATCTAGACACCTGAATTCGAGGTTTACTCAGAAACTATGATTTCATAACCACTCTTCCAATATGTGGAACCTAAAGAGTTCACAGGTGGGTGAGGAATAGTGATGAGGCCCAGCTGAATGAGTGTGACTTGAATAAGAATTTTGTGTGTCAATCATCTGATATCATACTTCCTGTATCCATAAGTTTGAAGAAAATTTGTGTTTCAATTGTCACGGAAACTAATGTTCGAAAATGTCAACAATCACTTAACTCGTCCTACTGTTTACGTTTTAACGAGCTCTGTTATTCACGAGCATCTTTGGCGAATCCTTCCCAATTAATTTTGTACTAAAAATGTGGAGCAAGACAAAGATAATCCTCCTATCAAAGAAATTATTTGGTGATAAGAATGTGAAATTTAGACCCATAATAATATCTGTTTCCTTTCAAATGCAAAATAAATACCTTAAATGCTGCTATGTATTCTATGTATTCTATGTATTCCATTTGGAAAAGATAAGAAGTGTGTTAGATTTGCATTTCCAAACATTAATTCTACCTTTACCGCTATTCCAAGACCACTACTATTGAACAAATTTGTTGGCATCAACATCAACAGATGAATAACCAACTGGTTGTGTTCTTACTTCTCTAGAAGCGAACTGTATACTGTGCTAGGAAAAAAGTGTTCAATGTCTTTACTGGCTCAAGGTGTGGCAGATTTTTTCTCTCTTTTTTTCTCACTTTTCCTGCATGATCTGTTATCTTCTACAAAAAACACTTTTGCTAAGTACGTGGACGACCTCACTGTGTGTATAGCGGTTTTTCTAAATATCACACTGTTAATTTTAGATTGAGACAAGAACAGCAACTGAACACGCTGTTGAAGTCCTATGATGTTTAGACTGTTGGAGACTCTGTAATAAAAACAGTGTCAAAGGTCACTTATCTTCATGTAAGTTTTTCCTCTGACCTTTCTTGGTCTTCTCATGTTTTATTGATATCGAAGAAAGTTTCCCATTTGACCTATTATACAAAGAGACTACATGCTTTCAAAACTACTTAACACTTGTAAATATATGCGTATTATTTATTGTTTCTTACGTTTTCCCATGATTCTTTACTAGACTTTGGAAAAAAAATTTTTCTGTGTTGTGGAGAATGTTGAAGACAATTGGTAGGGTATGTAGTCAATCTTTTGAGATCATTATGAATATGATTGAGGGTAAACATTTAAAATCTCACAAACACTAAAAGTTTTCATCCTATCAAATACTAATCATCCAGTTTATTCACATCTTACTCTTTGTATATCTTTTAATAAAACTAGACGCCGACACATGGGGTATACTAAGATATAAAAGTCCTAAAATACATTGTCTAGCAAATACACTATACAACTAACAGGTTGTAAGAGCTGGTCTAGCCAAAAACGTGTTTTTTTAAGAATATTGCTAGTTTAAAGTTGTATAGATTTTCACCTTAGTAAAAAACATTTCATTTAATTCCAGATAGTAGATTTACTTACTTCATGCATATATGAACGAAGTTAGTGATTGCTTATTTGTCAAAGAAACTTGCTGAAATATGTTGTGCTGAGAATTTTATATTGTACTAAACTAAAATATTGAATAAAGCCGTTGATAGCAATTATTATTATTATTATTATTATTATTATTATTACTATTATTATTAGCGCTAAAAGCACTTCGACCACAGTATTATAAGCCGCTCGGTTATGTCATAAGCAGTTATGAATAAGATATTTAGTACTTCAATTGGTTACACTTTCATTCTAGTGTAAGTCTACGGCAAAACTGACATCCTATAGGTGGATAATATACTTCTAAAACGTTATGATATACAGAATTTATGAGTTACAAACGTTTGTAATAAGAAGGTCATTAACAGTAATAACAATAATAACATAACAAACCTGGAAGTAAGAATTCTCGCGCCAATAATAGACTTAACCATCGAAATGCAAAATGTTCTGGAACAAGTTCTATCGTTTTTAAATGATTAAACAGATTAACGTCAAATTTAAACAATAAATCCAATAAAATTTTCATTTGACCACCTGTGAACAATTAGACAAGTAAACAACAAAACAAATTAGGTTTTAGCACTGGAAAAGTAGCATCATTTCATTATCATCCAGAATATAGAATAAAAAAGCACGATGAAATAATATGTAAAAACTTGACAAACTAATACACAACATTTCGTACGATGCGTTGATTTTGTAATCAAATACGCATTATTCTTGCACAAGGTATTATTCAGTATCAGTAATTCAATACAACCATTACATAAATTTTATCTGCTGTAATGAAACATGCACAAAGATTTATGTTAAAATCAACAATCAGAAACAAGTAGAATATAATTAAAAATTATCGGTGCTGAGATTGACGCAGCTTTTATTTAATCTTTTTATAAACCTGAAAATACCACTTATATGGCTTTATTTGGTTTTCTATTAACTTCGACATAATTACTCTTTTTGGTAGTGATATCGAATTCTTTTTTCTTATACGACTGTAGAGAGTTGTTATTTTAGGCTGATGCATCAAGCATAATGTTACGTTTAATCAGTTTACCAAAAACAAACCATCACTAGTATATAACGAAAATTCAGCTAGTATTTTTACTAAACATACGTCTTTTCACAAACAGCAAATAGTCAGCTTTAAATGAGGCGTTGTTTACACATATTCTATTCGGAGTAACAATCCACCATGATTCTAATATAGTTTTAGACGTTATAAACTGAAGAGCGATGTATTCAAATATTGGTGATTCACTCCCTGATTGATGCATCATTCAGCTTTATAGGATAAAAAAAATGATATAAAGACGTTCTCATGCTAAATTTATTCGATTATTAGCGATTCCACTTAGCCGTCTCTTCTTTCAGGTATACTATATGATTGTTCGATTTTTGTGCACAATGACTGAGACCAAGCTAGTTTCACACAATTTATTTTTACAGTCTAAATATGTGACTGACAACAAAATTATCAAAATCATGTATGATAAAAGAAAATATAAACTAAAAAACGAGTTATTCCTTTTAAATGACCAACAGAAATTAAATCGGATCTCTTTATGAAACAGAAACAAAATGAATAAAAAATTGTAGAAACTCGCCTAGACCAGCTTCATGACTACCATCTAACTTTCGTAGAAAATTAGGATGAATTTCAGTCATAAGATTATTAAAACAATAAAATGTATCCATTTCGGCATATTCTGTGTGAAAAGAATTAATGTAACAAAATTAAACAGTTTAGCAATATCAAAAATAGATACTGTAAAAATCAGAAAAGAATATGGTTAATTAATATTTTTATAATTTACAAAACATGCTGACAGTAATGCAACTTTACTCCTTAAATGACTACAAGTTGATTAGGAGCATATAGGATTATCACTTAAAGCCTACTAGTGGCTAGATTTGATAGAAAATAAAGGAGTGTGATTTAAATAACTTTGTTTTTTGTTAGAATATTCATAACAATATCCCTAAAATTATTCTGTTAAGTCTAATTCTATCGCTAAACGTAAAATTGTATGTTTTCACACTTTTCACATGTTTTCAGACTTATCAGATATTTCACATCTTGTTTCCGAATTGTCAATATTTACGGTCGACCTAACTATATAAATATGCGTTATCTGTAAAGTTCTAGGCTGTATTCTGACCGCATAAACAATTTTCATCTGACATTTTTGTGTTATGATATACTGGAGATTTGGAAAACAGAATTTGCGGTCGTACTGGAATATCTGAGGTTGGTCAATCGGCAGAATTTCGAGTAGCCATATTGCGGACCACAATATTTGGCAAACGAGTTGGTGACTAACTAAGGATCCAGCCAAATTAGAAAAATTGTTCGACTAACAGTTGGAGCCCATGGAGATGCTTACTCAGGCGAAAACTTCTTTTTGAGTCTCATCTACACCGGCAATCCCCTCAATGAGTCGGTGGTATTACCAGTGGCATTTCAAAGTTTCTTTGTGATCCTGACGCCAATATTATATTTGATACCGGGTTCAGGTGTTATGAAAACCTATTTAAAGTTGACCTTTCTGATAGAGATGCTACTTAGGGGGTGCGCCTTCTCCTTTGGAAACTTGGTCTGTCGGAGCTGAATAAGCATTGCAACCTCATTCCACCACCGGACCGTTCTTTCAGTGCCACCATTAAATCCATCAATCAAATTTTTGGTGATCATCACTCACGTTTTAACACTCGCTATCGCTGCTTAAAACTGGCCATGAATAAGTACGACGACTTCTTGACCCACGTCCGCATTGTCAACCGTGAGTGCGAACGGTTCAAGCTCAGATCCCTTACAGACGACCGATTCAGGTCCCTCATATTCATATGCGGTATTCACTCACCCGAATTCTCCGACATCACAACTTGGTTGCTAAACCGCCTTGAACAAGACCCAACACCGACACTCAATGCGATCACCGACGAGTACCAAAGCATCAGCAACCTGCGGCGTGACACCACTTTGGTTCATTCTGGGGGTCAGTGTGGTTCCGAAGTTTACAAGGTCACAAAAACGGTTTTTGCTAATTAGCCCGATTCAATAGCTGTGAAGATTCAAAGATGTGGCGTCGTCTTCCCGAAAAGCCAGTTGCCTCATAAGGGAGTTTAGCAGCAGTCTTCCATGCCGTTACTCAAAGCAAACTCTTCACTCTCTCAATCAATGGTCAGCCAGTTCGGTTGCAGTTGAATACTGCATCGGATATTACCATTCCGTCGGAAAAGGCATGGCGAACTTTGGGCCAACCACTCATCAAACCATGCTCGCAGACCGAGGTCAGCGCCTGTGGGAGTCATCTCCATTTTCATGGTGAACTCGATTGCTGCATTTCGTTCAGAGGTGCAACCTTCAATGGAACGTGCCACATCACCAAATCTACTCTCAGCCTTTTGGGTTTAGATTGGTTCGAAGAACTTGGTCTCGCCGATCTTCCCAGCAGCACTATCTGCGATCAAGTAAATCTCCTGGCACTACATAAAAGCATACTGCAGACCTCCAAAAACGATTCATTGAACCCTTTCAGGCTGCCCTCGGACTTTGTTGCATTACTGAAGCTGTTTTGAGACTGCAGCCAGAAGCTACGCCAGTTTTTTATCCAAAACGTCCAGTCGCATACGCGTCTCTACCTCTGGTTGACGCTGAACTTCAACGTTTGTAAACCGAAGGTGTTCTTGTACCCGTCTTTTATTCATGATCGGCTGGTAAAAAAATCCAATGGTTTCATACACATCTGTGCAGACTTCTCCACAAGACTCAACGCGAAACTACAGCAGCATCACTATCTGCTGCCGATCCCAGATAACTTATTTACTATTTTAGATGGTGGTACTTACTTTGCTAAACTGGACCTGGCGGACGCTTACCTTCAAATTCCTGTCGAGAGAGTGATTGACAATCAACACTCACCGAGGACTTTTTCAGTATACCCGGTTACCCTTTGGAATCAAAACTGCTCCAGGTATCTGATTGATTTTTATAGGTTCATAACAGATGAGTTAACTGACTCTTATGCACATTTTTTAGAGTGTAGAATAACTAAATGACTACTTCAATAGAGTTAATGGAATAATGAGAAGTGTTAGGTAACTGAGGGACTCAAATTTCGAGAAGAGAAAGAAATGATGCATCAACGTAATTAACAGCGACTTTGAGCCATGTCCCATCACATCTCTAACCACGGGATACGATAATCGAGCCGACCTCGACTAGGTAGTTTTAGCCTATGAGCATCAGTCAATCATTTCATGCAATATTTCCCGTTTATAAACTTGAATCAGGAAAGAACAAATATCGTAGCAGAAGGACACGAATTCATTTATTTCGTGGATTCTCAGTTGCTTAAAAAAATGCACAGACTATATCTGAAATATCGAGAATAACCTAAATTAATATGTGGAGATAAACTAATATTAAAAGATCATAATACAGAAGAATTAGAATTTTCTAACGTCCTCTTATTTACAAATTAACTATATGAATATTCTAGGAGAGCACGGAAGCTAAAAAAAATGTTGAAGTAGAAATCAGATAACGCAATGTAGAATAGTTGAGTAAAGATCAGAAGTGAGAATTAAGGTAAAAGTATTTCGATTAAAATTTATGGAAACAAAAAGGAGCAGTTTTACGTGATAAACTTATGAAACAGCAAGGTCACCGACGGCAAAGCAAGATTGGTAATTGTTCCTTTTTGGATATATGAATTTAGTTTAAATCTCTAATTGCAGTAGCTTTGGTAACGCATAACAACTTTGAATTCCTTTGTTTTCTGATTACTTTGGAAGATTTAAGGACTTCAACGTCACGACTACTGTAGAGCAGGCGATAAGCTATTGCGCTATTGAAAATCTTTCGTCTGTTTACTCCCTACTTTTTGAGAATATATTCAGAAATATGGAAAAACCCTTCTTTCTGCTCTTCCAACTCCATCTGGAGTCCGTTTGGGGTTACTGCCGATCCAAAGCCCGAAAAAAGGAGGAGAGATAGGCATGGGGTTATAGAACCCATCGGTTCTCTAAAAAGAACTCCAACGAAGAAAAGTAATCCAAACCACTTAAACTCGGCCCTCGGGGTTAGGTATTTATTAAGAAGAGTTATGACATCTCATGATAAAAGCCGGGTTACTTCGGAAATCACGAGGCCGATATTACTTCTCACAACCAGAAAAACCATTAACTTAGGTACATGGAATGTTCATACATTGTGAGAAACCGGAATAACCATTCAAGTTGCTGCGGAAATGAAAACCTGAAACCTGGTGGTTCTTGGAATCAGTAAAATACATTGGATGCAGGTTAGAAAAAAAAGACTAGCTTCAGGAAAGGTACAATTATACTGCAACAAACTACTATGGGATAGGACAAACCAGATCCCAACAAATAAAATTAGAAAGAAGCGCTGGGAGTAGATAGGACATACATTAAGGAAAGCGCCCAACTGCATGACAAGACAAACCCTCACTTGAAATCCCCAAGGTTAAAGAAGAGGAAGACCAAAGAATACTTACGTCGAGAGGCAGGCATGAAAAGGATGAACAGAGATTGGGTAGGAGTGGAAAAAAAAGTTCAAGATAGAGTAGGCTGGAGAATTCTAGTCAGCGGCCTTGCTCCACTAGGGGTAAGAAGCGTAAGTAGGTAAAAGTTCTGTTCTTCTGATGTACTTGCTCAGGTTCGTACATGTAAACCCGTTAACACAATTGAATGTAACATAAAGCCGGTATTTTTCCACATTTGATTCTCTTACCGAACATTTACTTTAGTATAGAGAGACTAATTTGGTCGCTGGATACGTTGTTTTTAGCATTGGGTTTGGTATAAAATCAATTCTTCCAGCTATTTCACCGCCTTTGAAACCAAGCTTTAAGACGGGCTTTTACTCAACCGTACGATATTCTATTTTCATGGTCTTCTCTCTAGTCGTACCATATTTAGCTATGAATTTTGGTGCATATTCGACGGTACAAAGCTGTGGATGTTTAAGTATACCCAGCTTCACATATCCATTCGATAACTATATATTTCTAATCGGTAACTTGGACTTCGTTTAACGCCAAGATCTAGAAAATGAAACATGTGATCATGTTCATATTCCATCATAAACCTGATTATGATGTGCTCTGTTGAAAAGTCCCAATATACGAGAAGCATGTTGATAATTATTGCAAGAAAAAGAAGAAAGCTCGTTCTACCTTAGAACGCAATGTTATACCTACAGCAGTGGGGCTTCCAGATACATGGAGCGTGAGTCGCGACGGTTCTTTATTTTGACATGAGGTCGAATGAATAACTGTACTCGAATCTTATACGTGCGTTTTGGAGACGGCGCGAGATACTAAAGTCCCAACTAAGGAAGCCTATTGTCCTCTTTGGGACCAAAAGCTCCAACATATAGTTTAAAGCGTCGTTTCAAGAGAACAGGAATGAAATTTCGTGTACAAGGATTGTTAGCATTAACTGCATGAGGTGCTGAAGTTGTACGAGATGGGTTAGTCGTGCAAACAAAAGATTTATTAAGAGGCGTAGGAAGGATTTGATCGAGAGTAATTTTTTCTCGTGTGTAGTAGAAGGTATGAGGAAGGATGTCACTTTCGGCCGCCCATACCGTAGAAGAGTATCTCCTCTTTAGTGGACTGAAAAAGCTGGGTTGGTATTGGTCTTAGCGAGTTAGAAGAGCGACCGCAGAGCTCAAGGGACAGCTGCAAAAGATCAGCAGCACACGAATTTTGATGGGAAGTTTTTAAGGTGTTAGCTTCGCTATGCAAAAGGCCTGACGGCCAGAGACGGAAATTTGTGGAGTTAAGTGAGATGCGACACTTTCGGAGTCCATATTTTTCAAACCTTTCCTACAGTTGTGAGAAGGCAGCATCGATGCAGATGCTGGTTTTCAGAGGGAAACAAGTTATTGCTGTCACATCCATATACAGTTAACAGTACGACTTAGGCCTTAGGGTTTCGTTTTTAATTTTACTGTTCTCCAACTGCCCTGTCTAATATGATACGATCTAAAAGAACATGCATTCTAAACGATATAGCTTGATTTGGTTACCACATTATTTCGTCCCCCCTAGTTGATTAGTGTCAGGTTTTGGTTTGATTACTCTTAGTTTTCCTCTAGCCTAACTCTACACCAGCCACTATCACACGTCGAGTACATGCAACAGTAGGTGGAGATTTATTACCTCCTCAATCGATTAGCCATTAATACCCAGTACCCTACCTTTAACTTCAAACAGAAATTTTCGACAAATATGTAGATAAATAAACCAAACTTGCTTCTCCAAGATTCATCTGGGTCAGTGGCGAAAACATAGTAAATTGGTGCGATAACTTCATTCATTCCTTGAACATAACCCTGAGACATATGGGTTTTGTAATATACATAGAGAATTCGTTCAATCACTTCCCAATGTGGTTCCTGATGAGGTGATGTCGAATTCCAGTCGCTTTTATGGTTCACTTTACTTCTCTGGGGTTGTGCTACCAAACCAGAAGATAATCGATGGTTTGATTGGAAAGGAGAGTAAGTAGACAGATGAATCATATTTGTAACACCAACAAGATTTTTATTCAGTGAACGTGACTGGTGATAAAACAACAGGTAAAACATTTTGTCGTATTAATAATATATTTTTCAATCAAAAGTAATTGGCAGACAATATGGAAGCAATAAATTAATAAAAGCAATTATTAAATAGATTACTTATAGGAAGTCAACTACAGCCAACCGTTACAAATTGAAGGTATAAAACCTTTGTCATTTATTCAATGAAATTTCAGCTGAAACTCGTATTTGCAACTAATATGTCCAGTTAGATTACTAGCTGGTTGAAATTTAATGTATTGATTACTGATGTCGAATTTTAAAGTACAAATGTACACCTTTTAAAACCTCTGAGTAACCAAACTCTAGAATTCTTAAAAATCATTACTCTTTATTCGATTAGAATATGAAAATAAGGTAAAGTATTTACTCGACGGCTTTTAATAACCATAAATACTTAGTGATGGTTCTTCTCAACGTTAGTTTCACTTTAATATATGTCGTTTATTTGTTCAACAATTAGCTAGTTTGTATAAGTGAGGACATTTTCACTGCTCGAAAAATTGACATTCAAAAGTTGATAAAACATTTGGCAAACCTATTTCACCATTCATTTGTACAAGTCATAACCATCACAAACTGTTTTACTATATATGCCCCTAACTGAGGATAATTACTGGTGATTAAAATATGCATTGTTACAATCACACTATCCAATACTGAATCCACTGAGAAGATACCTTTGGAATAATCCATGTCTTGGTGTCACCACAAAGTTATACTCAGTCGCTGAGATGTCTAACAAATATCAAAGAAATAAAATTTGAAGTTGATAACCTAACGTATACAGTTGTTAGGTAAAATATGAACCCAAAAAAATCACAGCAAATTTTAAGTTCCTTACCTGGAGTGCAGAGGTTTCCCCTCTTCTCCGTAACACCCCAACAGGTACTTCCTTTCCAAATAATGATAGACAAGTATATTCTGTAGGACGACGAAAGAAATCAAAATCTGGACACAGCCTTTGACAATCCTTATTAATCTGCAGTAATACTTCATTGTCGCGAAAAAACGCAATCCAATTTCCATCTGGTTCTAAACTTAGTGGCTATAGAAGTAACAATAATGCTAATTTAATACACTTACATGATCAGCAGGCATAGCATCTGCCACACAAGACTCAAATACAAATTCTTTAACAAAACCTTCATACTGCCTTCTGTTAAAAGCGATCCGTTCTTGTTGTTTATCGACATTACAAGGGAGATAATTTAGAAGAAACTTCAAAATATAAAAAAGTACTTTACCTTCCAAACTCTTGAACGGACTCCATTAGAATCAGGACAACCATCAATAGACAATCTTTTAAGTTCCTCGATATTTACATTTTCCCCATTTATAATATTTAGAATTTGTTCATGTCTGGGGAAAAAATTAATCAGCTTTTATGGAACTACCTGAAGCATTTCATATTTATTACATAGATGTTTTAGTAAAACCACTACGAAGCGAGCTCTACGTACATTTCCTTGGAGGTCACGAATTTTGACTCTTGCTGAAAGCCATAAATATGTTGGAGAAAGGCGTAGTAACATAAAACAAAAAGAGGGAAACCATTCAATTTCCAAACTACTGATAAATAATATCACACATCATTACCTGCTTCGGCTTCATCACTCGGACAATATCCCAGCCATAACACAAAGTTTGAACAGCGTACATGTTTTGGTGCCCCTTCGTACAAGGTTTAGATGTTTAAATATTATTATAAAGAATCGAACGAATATACGTTGACTCAAACAGCCGTACAATATCAAAACAGAAAGGTTAAATTACCATAACAGACTGACAGGACAACGAGCTTCCTTAGATAGGAATTAAAAATCTCACACCACCGATGTATGCTGCGTCTCCGAAATACGCACACAGGATCCGAGTAGCGTCATTCATTTGATCTCAACATGTCGAAATATAGAACCAACTCGGTTTACTGTCCGGGTAACTGGAAGCCCTGATGCTGCTTCCTGGGGTCTCTCTAGTGTAGGTATAGCATTGAGTCGTAGGGCAGATCTACCTCTTCTAGACTGGATCTCAGTTGATGGTCGCTTGTACGTTGTCCGACTAAACGGGACAGTAAGGACTCGGAAAGATAGGGACACCCGTCAATGCCTCTTCGTCGTATCGGCCTATGCCCCAACTGATTGCAGTTCAGACGATGTGAAAGATGAGTTTTACAGAAAGCTTTCGGACCTCCTCCAAAAAGTTGGGTGCAATGATGTAGTAATAATGGCTGGTGACTTCAATGTTCAAGTAGGTAGACTAAGTGAAAAGGAAGGAAACCTGATAGGTCTTATGGTGACACGGCACAAAGAACAGATAATGGCGACCGTCTGCTGCAGCTATACTCGGATAACCGCTTATTTCTAGCGAATACTAACTTCGAGCAAAAAGATACACATCTTTTGACATGGGACCATTATTCATTCTCAATTCAGGAGATTGGGTCAATGGGCAGAACACTTTAGGGATCAATACAACTGGCCCGCAGCCTCACTTCGGTTGCCTACGATCTCCGGTCATCCTGAATGGCAAATCGATGTATGTTCTTCGACTCTAAATGAAGTTGGAAACGCCATCGGAAATCTACAGCGAGGGAGAGTAGCAGGGCCTAACAGGCTTTCCTCTGAGACTTTTAAGGATAGCGGTCCAGTTTTAGCAGCTAGATTGACTGAAATCTTAGTTACAATCGGGGAACTGGACATAATCCCATCTGACTGGTCGCAATCACTGTTGCCCCAGTCTATAAGAAAGGTTAAAGGTCCTCTTGTGACACTCACAGAGGAATCAGTCTAACTAACACGGTGTCTGAAATGTTAGCCTCGATAATACTTAGAAACCTAACTACAGCTCGTGAAGAGCAGACTCGAGAAAACTTGATGAACATTTCTAAACAGACATTTGTTTATTGATAACCAACGGTTCCTACTAAATAAATAAATGAAAACAAACGACAAATATCGAATCCAGTTAGCATCAAAAATAAAAATGGTTGCAAATATATGTAAACTAACTTCACTCAGAGTAGCGAAAACAAATTAAACGAAGTAATAATGGAAGCCTTATCAAGAAAACTACATATATGAGAAAACCATCGCAACAAGAATAGTAGTATACCAAAAATGACACAAATCATAAAAGCGAAATTCAAAAGAGTTGAATCACAACAAACTTAGGGCACCTGTACTTTCACAGTGCGATTTTACGGCAGGATATCACATGCTATCCCATAAAAGTGCTATAAAACACTAAACGTAATATGAAAACTCAATAGTAAAAAGACCAAGTTTATTGGAAGTGTATGGACGAACTCGAAATAACTTTTAAGCTACGAGAGACCAATGGCTATGGGACGAATTATGACCGAAAACAGAAATACAAATGACACATACGCAGATTCACCATATGAATATCATATGAGCTGCGGAGACTCTTACATCAATTGAGAGAATTGTTGACTCAGAATAACATCAACAAATTACGGACTTCGCACTGAAATCTGGACGATTTGTCTACATACGTATGTAAAGTACTTAACTGCGGGAGCAAGTTGGTTGCATGACTGACTGCTTAGTTAAGAGATAATAGATATTCACCAAAAAAATACTAACTATAATGAAAATCCTTCCATTTCAAATGATAAAAGCTCAAACTAAAATATGTGTATTTTCAGGCAATTAAGAATTTACGATATCCAACTAGTTAAGTCGGGAAGACCAGTTACCGCCTCTGACCTTGAGAGTTAATAATCAACTTTTTCACATGTAGGCTCAAATCCAATATCCAATATCTTTTTCACGAGCTGGTGTAAACCAATTTGATTTCTTCGCGCTCGATTCTTGTTCCTTCGGTACGTTTCCAGGTGTTCGATAGTGTCCAATGGATGCAGGTCTAGCCACTCGACTGTCTAATTCTAGTCAGTTGGCAGTGGGTAAGCACCAAGCTGTCTTCGCATAAAGTGAAGAGTCGCATTCGCCTTGGCTGCATCGCCTGCATAGTGTGGGCGCGTATGGAGGATTTCTATGGTTATTAAACCAAGATCGAGGTCTGAGGAGACAATAAGCAGCGGACTTTCATTGGTGGTATAGGTCGTTTGCGTCATATGAGGCTGGAAATGCATGACGTGGCACTTCGGTTGGTTGAGTTTTAAACCGTTTTTCACTGCCCATTTCTCATTAGATGTACGGTCCTTTTGAAGCCCAGTCGAATCCTCTTCGCTTCTAATGGACCTCCAGATCTTCACATCGTCTGCTTAGATCAGTGTCGGTGAGCTAACTAAGCCTTGCAGGTCGTTAATAAATATCAGGAAGAGGAGTGGGCCTAGGATAGTCCCCTGTGAAACTCCTGAAGTGGATACTCTCCAACTCGCGTGCACTCTGTTTACCTTGGTGCGAAACTTTCTATTCTCAAGTTAGTTTCTGAGCCAAATAGGAGTGGGTCAGTGAAGCCCATTTTCACAACCTTTTCGATTAGGCGTGCGTGGGGCACTGTGTCGAAGGCCTTTGCAAAGTCGAGGAATATTAGGTGTACCGGTATTTTACGGTCCAAACGGGATGTCCAACTGTCCCATGCGATGAGGAGATTTGATGCACACGACCTGCCTTTCCGAAACACGTGTTGAGCATCATGGAGTATTTTATTCTTATCCATGTACTCCCTCATTTGTTCGTCCACTAGTCCTTCCATATTTTTTGATGATATTGGTAGTAGTGCGACAGGTCTGTAACAGGCTGGGTCCTTTCTATCTCCTCCTTTGAAGATTGGAGAGAGAGTAGCTTGTTTCCATTCTGCTGGGAATTGGTGTGACTCCAGTAAATACCGGAGAAGGTCACATATCGGTGAACAGGGGATATCTGCACATTGTTGCAGGAGTGTGGGGCGAATTTTGTAACAACCTGGTGACTTATCAGGGTGTAACGATTTTAAAACAACTAGTACTAAGTCGACTCCGCCGGCAGAAACTGAGAGGCTACTGCCGGTCCAAGCACGGATAAAGTAGGAGGGTTGGATATGGGGTCGGCGACGGCATTCCATCAAAAACTAACTTGCCAAAAAAACTCTAACAAAAAAAATCATTCAAACCATTTTAACTCTGCCCTGGGAGTTGGAAGAAGATTTATGACGTCTCGTGATGAAAGCCGAGTTCCCTCGGAAGTCACGGGGCCGATGCCTCTTCTGACAACCAGAGCAACCATTTTTTAGGTACATGGAACGTTCGTACATTGTGGGAAACTGGAAGACTATTTCAAGTTGCGGCAGAAATGAAAACATACAACCTCGAGGCGCTCAGCATCAGTGAAACGCATTGAACACAAGTAGGACAACTGAGACTTGGTTCAGGGGAACTGCTGTTATACTCTGGTCATGAAGAGGAAAATGCCTCACATACACAAGGAGTTGCACTGATGCTGTCCAAACATGCACAAAAGGCACTGACAGGATGGGAATCTCATGGACCCAGGATCATTAAAGCATCCTTCAAAACAAACAAAGAGAACATTGCAATGAACGTCATCCAATGTTATGCACCTACCAATGACTACAATGACGACGTGAAAGATCAATTCTACGAAAGGCTGCAGTCAATCGTCGAGAAATGTTCATCAAAGGATTTGACGATTCTTATGGGAGACCTGAATGCCAAGGTTGGCATGGACAACACTGGATATGAAGACATCATAGGACGACATGGACTGGGAGAAAGGAACGAAAATGGTGAGAGATTTGCAAACCTATGTGCCTTCAACAAACTGGTCATCGGTGGCACAATATTCCCACACGAAACGCATACACAAAGCTACATGGATTTCACTGGATCACACTACTCGGAACCAAATCGACTCTATCTGTATCAACAAAAAGTTCAGAAGGACCATGGAGGATGTGAGAACCAAGAGAGGAGCTGATATGGCTTCAGATCAACATTTGCTGGTCGCCAAAATGAAACTGAAACTCAAGGAACACTGGACAACGTGGCAGACAACATCACAAAAGTTTAATACGGCCTTTCTTCGGGATACTGGAAAGCTCAATGAATTTAATAGAGCTCTAAGCAATAGGTTCCAGGCCTTGCACGATCTGCTCAATCGAGAAGAAACAACCATGGCGATCAATTGGGCGGGGATCAAGGAGACAATCACTTCAACATATCAGGAGGTTATGAGCCACAAGAAGTACCATCACAAGAAATGGATCTCCGTTGGTACTGTTGAAAAAAATGAAGAAAGGCGGAACAAGAAGGCAACAATCAACATCAGCCGAACAAGAGCAGAGAGAGTCAAGGCACAAGCTGAATACGCAGAAGCAAACAAGGAAGGAAAGAAGAGCATCAGAGCTGACAAACGAAAATATGTAGAAGTTCTAGCAATGACGGGGGAAAAGGCTGCAAGAGAAGGAAACATGAGACAATTGTAT